CAGGCATTAGGCACTTGATATTTGCACAGAAGTGGGAATATGACTTGAAAAAAATTATTTACTGGTCACTTAATTTGGTTTATTAATAAATGGCTACAAAATTTAAATTATAACTTTACATTTTACTCATTTAATCAAGCATTAGCCACTTGATATTTGCATTAAATATAAGAAATTTAAAAATGACTTCACTTAATTTGGTTTTTTTGACAACTATGTGAAAATAAATTCATAAGTTTTCATTTTATTCCATTAATCAGGCATCAGTCACTTGATCTTTGCACAGAAATAAGATAGAACCTCCAGCCTCTCCTCACTCCTAACACGGCACAAGAAATCCCTTTGGTGACCGACCATTCTTCCGTTATTACCAATATCTGTGGCTGATTTGCCCTCTGTTCCACAGGCACCACAGGAAACAACAAAAAGAGGGAGAGGCACTAAGCTTCTTGCCTAATTTGCCCCTCAAACCTACGCAAGACGGATCAGAGTGGCTGCCCTGGCAGTGACTTTGAGGCAGGACATCGTCCTTAGGCGATGCGGCTCGTTTTAGGGGATTAAAAACGGAAGCGTCACGTGAGGTCGAGGCATCAGCGTGCTTTCGGATATGGAGTGGGTGGCATCTGGCACTGCTCGGGCCATGAGAGGCACGCAAAGGAAGGAGAACAATAAGTGTTACTGGTGAGCTGCAGTTGACTGCGCCATGATCCAGACCACGGTTTCCGAGACACGTTTGGTGTCTGAAGAACTAATGTTGCACTGATATTGGCACTTAAATACACCATCCATGTCTGCCATAGAGAACACTGGGACTATGAAGCAACTTCTGACGCTCGTGTGTACATGACGTATGCATCCACACGCCAGCTGATGGACCTTAACTGCAACATGTCAGCGGTGTGGGATGCACAAGACAAATTTGGATGTGTAACAATATTTACATGCATGTACCTCAGGTTTATCTATATATAGTTTAGTTCTGTTTTTGCTATTTTGCACAATTAAAATATTTAAAATCTATTTCAGTTGTAAAATCTGGTTCTTTTCAAAAGTGAGGGGTACTCTGGAATAAAAAGCCACTGTTAACTTACAACAGGTTTTCTTAAGCAACTAAAAATTGCTTAATTGGGGAAAAAATATAGCCAACAAGTAATTGAGACGTATATAAGCTTAGAATGCTTTAGCAACCGTCTAAGCGTTGGCCCTGTCATCAGGAGATCGCGAGTTCGATCCCTGGTGATGTTACAGCCATCCGTAGCCAGGAGTCTCTCTCTGGGTGGGTAGGATGGCCCCTCCTTCTCCCCCCATCACTCAATGCGATGCTAGACAGCGCAGGCGTCTGTTAGCTGACGTAACAGATCTGAAAGTTGGCGCTTTCCTCCGAGCGCGTTCAGCCGTCCAGTGACGTTGCGTGAGCGGCAGTTCGAAAAGATATGGTGGCTGGTTTCACAGGTCTCGGAGGAAGCCTGTGTTAGCCTTCGCCCTCCTAGTGTTGGTAGTGTTGTGTGACTGGGGGAGTCCCAACTAGCGGGTGGAATTGGATATGACTAAATTGGTGAGAAAACTGGGTAAAAATCAAAAAAAAAAAAAGGGGTAACATACAAAAACCAGGATCTACAGGCACACATTGACTAGTTAGGTTAGACTGGTATTGGCACCGAAAAGGAAGAAGTGGTATCAGCGCATCCCTATCTGAAAGCCAGCCCTTGGTCAGTGACGTGGTTGCCCGGGTCACCGCACTGGCAGCTTCTTTTTAATACAAACTGAGTGTTGAAGACGGCTACTACTGCTACTGTTTGAACCTAAGCGAATATATTGGTCCATTTTCGTAGATAACTGTCAGAAACCACTGCACTAAGGGGAAAACTGTAAATCAGACTTTGCCTGACCCCTCCCTTTAAAAGTATTTCTCCATGGTCCATGTTTTTGAATCTGATCCAAGCGCCGTTTCCAGCCCCAATTCACCACGAAGGACAATAAAGGGTCCAGGGTCAGCACTGAGAAGTCTCCAGAAGTCCCCGGGTCTCAGAGAGCTATGACGGTCAGTCACATGTTTCTGGGCTGGAAAAAGCCAGTAGCTGCATGTGTGCTCTGTGTTCCCCCAGACAGCAGCAGCTTTAATGGCTGCAGGGGGGCTCAGACCAGAGCAATCGATAACACTCGAGCCCTCTACTCTGCGGACTATTAGTGCTCCCGCTGGCAGGCCTACGAGTCGAGCGCCAGTCGATGCACTCACGGCCCGGCCCGCGGCCAGGCTGACACACTTTGTGTTTCTTTTTTCCACATTTCACAGTGTTTATTAGGAGCCCAGCAGCACTGCAGCTTCAGCGGCCCATTCACAGAGGAAGCTGAATGAGCTATGGGGGGTTCTCTGAGAGCAGGATGAATGGTGGGACAGTTCTAATAAGCGCTAGTAGCAGCTTTTCTACTTTAAAGATGATTTCTGGGAACTAAAAAAAACAGGTCTTTAATTTTTTAGTTCAGTCTTGTTTAACAGAATACTTTAATTGTACGCTACATTTTGTTTGGAAGCAAATGGGCATTCGTGAAATGCCCAAAAGAAAACTGTCCACAATTTCTCTGTGGTACCGAGGCAGATACAGCCAAAGCGAGCGGTCCCATTGGTCAGCCTTTTATAGAGTAACTACTAATTAGAACAGTGGAATCAACCAATTTTGATTTACAAAGGGTGGAACCAGTTTTTCCCCCTCAGAAAACATCACTCTAGCCCTTCTGGAAGTTCTAGATATGTCTCTGACAGTGAATATGATTTGTGGTCTAACCAGAGTGGAACCAGTTTCCACTCTGGTGGCATCTATATATCATATCATATTAGTGAGTCACTGTAAAGCTGCTACAAGGTAAAATACTTATTAACGTCTTTTCCAAGGTACAAAAGTCTGTGCTTAATCTGCAATGGCCAAATAATGTCCACTAGCGTTAACTTAGCGCCAACATACTACTAGAATCCCACTGGACCGCTAGCAGAAATTTGACCAAGGCTGAATTTTTTGACCAAGTTTTGATGTTAATTAGCTAAACTGAAGGCTGAGCTCTAGTAGTCACAGTTACCAGCGGACAACAAGCCAATGACACAGTCTCATGATTAAGAGTTGGAAAAAATGCCCTCTTCGCATTCATAGCCACGAAGATGGACCAATAATCAGTAATCCAGAACCGCACATTTTGAGGCTCCATTTGCTTTGCTAATATAATCATTACTTGTAAACACCACAATCAAATTCTCTCGTGTATCAGAATCTGTCATTATGGCAGGTTAGGAGAGCTTCTTTGTGTTGATTAAATGACACTCAGTGAATCAGCAGTGATTAATTAGGAATTTTCATCATGTAAATGAGTTGGTTGGCATGATATCACTAAAACAATGAATTTAAAACAGGCTGTTTTGCAGCTTAGTCACCAAATACGGACTGTATGAACGTTTGGAAACAGCAATGTTTACACACTACTTTAAATGGGTTCTTTATAAAACAGACAGAGCCTCAATCAGTAAATGATCCTTATTTGATCTTTTACTTTAAACTGCCTTCATTTCTTAAACAACTTTAAGAAAACAATATTGCACACCATTCCAGTTCAGGTTATTGTGTTTGCTGCGTTTTTAACTAATCCAGTGGCTGCATGTTTACTAATAATGGCGAGTAACATTAATTATATAATCCCAGGGCTGCATAATGTATCACTGGGATTATTACGGGCCTCTAACCAATCACAGTGCTGTGAGCATCCTGATTAATCACAGTATCGGATGAGTGTTTCTGTGGGTGTTTTGAAGAATCAAGAAATTCAGAAAAATCTAACAAAAGTAAATTGATTAAAAATTATATTATTTTGACCAAATTATGTTACAATCATAATATATTGCGAGGTTTATCACAATTGCAAAGAAAAACTTGTATTTCTCCGTCTGTGCACCTGCAAACATGTGCAGGCATCATGAGCAGATGTTTGCATACGTGTCTGCCCACTGAACGTGTCCAGTAGGGGGCAGGCATTCAAACCAGAACATATAGAAAACGAAAGAGGCAATTCTCACGGTTTTCTCTCTCTCTTTCTCTGAGATTGAATCCCCACTTCATAGTTTTTTGTAGTATTTTGCATCTTTTCTGTCACGTGATCCTTAACCTTTTTAACTCCTTGAGACCACCGGTGGTTCCAAAATTCACTTCGTCATATTCGTCATAACTTTCATATTTCATAAGCTACATTCAGAAGGTGGGGGTCATATGAGAGCTGTAACTGTCTTCTTTCCAGTAAAATAGATGGGTGATGTAATTTTAAACCCTTATAATAAAAGAAGCTGAACTCAATTTTTTGTCTACTGAAAGTCGACCCATTTTTCCACAAATCTGGGCTATAAATTATAAACAGATGGCGTCTCTTCAGTGATCTGCTCTGTAAAAATTATTTTGATAAAATAATACAAAGAGCGTCTAAGATTTTTGGCTTTCAGCAGTAAATAGTAAGCATATAGCAATATGTGTGATCATAAAACACATGTTCTGTTAATCTGAGGGGAGCTTTTACAAAAAAAAATAATAATAAAATTAAAATTTACGTTCATTTCATGCAGTTACTGAATCATTTGCCCTATGATTTGGTCATGTTAATTCAGATGGAAAAAAACTAAATATTCCCTGCTCCTTTTGGCTTTTTCACCATTTCTTGGGTTGGGTTTGGGTCGAGTACAGTTGGGGGGTCTTGTACTGCCCCCAGCAGTATTTACACACAGCTCTGCACAAGTGCACAATGCATAACTGAGATTTTGGAGGTGTGCATGCTGAAGCCTCTGCGAGCCACACTTTCCCATGAACCCATTCTGTGTCTCAATTCAAATATGTTTACGTGCATCTTCACAGAATGCATTCTGCAGACTTACTGCATAGTTTCATTCATAACACCGGCATTCTGCAGTCCTACATAGCAGTGATTTAAGCTCTGTGTCAGATTTGTGCTGAAGCTCAGGCTGTTTTACTCACAGTTGGTGATATCCGGAGGAGCGAAGCTGTCATTCATGAAGACACTGTTGGGTTTAGCCACTTTCAAGTAGACCACGTCTGTAGTGTTTTTCAAGGCAGTCACGGCGTGCTCATGGGTCACCTCCTCCAGACAGGCGCTGTTCACCTGACACACACAAACACAAGCTTCAGTCTGAAGAATATAAACAGGTTTCCTCGGCTGATGATTAGTAGGACTGTCATGATTAACCAATTATACTTGATTACTCAACTGAGATATTTTCTTTCTTACAGTAAGTAACAGAGCCTGAAAGACGAACCTATTTACATGCTGTTTTTTTGCCACATAGGGATTTAATACAGTAACTTTTTTTTTTAATTAAGTGTTTTCAAAGGCATCCTATTAATCTTGGACAAATTATTTTCGTCTGCAGAATTATCATATTACACAATATATAATAAATATATAATATAATAAGTAATATACAACAATTACATAATATAATAAGTGAAAACAACACATCCTATAGAGAGAGCACACTTCTGCACATTTTAATGCACAATTACAGAATTTAACACATTGAGTAAAATAAACAAACAAATAAATAAATAAATAGTGGCCTAAACCAAAGTTATGGCACGTTTTATATTTTATCTTTTAATTTTTCAACATGTTAAACTCAGCAAATAAATAAATATTGTGCACTAAAATTTACAGACAAACACCATATTTAAGTTTGTCGTAGAGAATGTGTTAGAAAATGTCATTTGACCAGGGGTGCCAACACTTTTGTATATGACTATGTACACAGATCAGGCATAACATTATGACCACCTCCTTGTTTCTATGCTCATTGTCCATTTTATCAGCGCCACTTACTACAATTAGACCGTAGTCCATCTGTTTCTCTGATACTTTGTTAGCCCCCTTTTTACCCTGTTCTTCAGTGGTCAGGACCCCCATGGACCCTCACAGAGCAGGTACTATTTGGGTGGTGGATCATTCTCAGCACTGCTGTAACACTGACGTGGTGGTGGTGTGTTAGTGTGTGTTGCGCTGGTCTGAGTGGATCAGACACAGCAGTGCTGCTGGAGTTTTTAAACACCTCAGTGTCACTGCTGGACTGAGAATAGTCCACCAACCAAAATTATCCAGCCAACAGCATCCTGTGGGCAGCGCCCTGTGACCACTGATGAAGGACTAGAGGATGACCAACACAAACTGTGCAGCAGCAGATGAGCTATCGTCTCTGACTTTACATCTACAAGGTGGATTGACAAGGTAGAAGTGTCTAATAGAGTGGACAGTGAGTGGACACAGTGTTTAGAAACTCCAGCAGCACTGCTGTGTCTGACAGATGGACTACAGTCTGTAATTGTAGAACTACAAAGTGCACCTATATAGTAAGTGGAGCTGATAAAATGGACAATGAGCGCAGAAACAAGGTCATAATGTTATGCCTGATCGGTGTATTTAGTTAATTAGTGTGTATTGCCTACAATTAACTACAGTCTTTTCTATGGCATATATTTTTGAACTAATGAGAGATTAGGATGATTGGAAAGCAGTAATAATAATACATCATGTGACACTGGAAAGAGAATAAAAAAAACAATAATTGCATAATATTGGCACTAATATAGTGGCATTGGCACTAATTAGCACGATTTTCAACAATATCAATTAAGACCCCGAGGCTACTTTCCAGGTCTTCTTCATGTTTTAAAATCTGAAATGTTTCGAAAAGCTACACATGGCTTGATGCAGTTCAGTTAAAACCTCTTCAACTCTAGACATACTATTGTTTTTAATATTAAATTCAAGACAATAAAGATTAAAGATGAAATAAAGTTTGTAATTTCTATAAATTATTCAATAACTACTATAAAAATGTAAGTTATGTAGTTATGAGAGTGAGAAACTAAAATGTGGGCCCATATAAGGGCCTTTAGGGTTCCATTGACTTTTAAAAATGTCTGTATAATTCAGTTCTTTAGATGTAAACAAAGCCAAACTAAGTGGTTTGATGTGAAATCATTCATAGTAGACAAACTTACAGACTCACAACGTCAAGAACACAAGTATAGTCGTTTTACTTACCATCCAAAACCACCAGTGAACCAACATGTGTCTTCTAAATTTCTATATGTTGATGACTGTAATAGCAATAAACCTAAATAAAATAAGTTTACTTTCATACTAATTTGTTTCACCAGTCCTCATGTACCTTTCCACCATCAATGAATGGATTTAAAAAATGCGTTTCTGTCTGAAACCTTCTCAAAACTATCATAGCACAATGTCTCACAGTGTATCTGTGACATTTCATTTCACGTAATAACTTTCTGTGAGGGAGCTTTTAGAGGTGGACGTCTGGTTCCTATAATCATTACTGTGAACAACTCTGACTCGGTAAGGTTCATTAGAATGGACCACTTCACATCAAACCACCCTGAATGACTTTATTTACATCTTAACCATTTAGTTATTCAGAAATTTTGAAAAATAAGTGGAATTCCCCTTTAAGGGCTTCATTTTCATGGCCTGGTCTTTTAAAATGACCTGATTGCCAAAATCAGATTATTACGAATGTAAGCAATGCTGACACAGTGACTACTGATATTTCCTCACAGCCAAAAGTTTGTCTCCTATTTGAAGTCTCCCATCTTTGTGTGCAGCTCCTCCTTCTATGATTTTGGTGACGTAGATGCTGTTGTCCCCTGGGATGTGCTGGTTCCCGACACCCCCTGCTATACTGAAGCCAAGCCCTGGGACATACCAAAGACAGAAAAACAGGGGGAGGTGAGTGATGATGCCTCCACAAAACAGAGATTATGCGGTTCTGAAGGTGGTATGACTTAAGGAAAAACAACCTTATGCAACTACAAACTGACTGTAGTACGTCTGTCTAGTGTTGCATGTTATTGTTCGAAAATTGCACCTAAAATCCAAAACAATCTGGTGAAAACGTATTAGCCTTCGTAATCCGCCGAAAATAAGACAGACAAATAAACACACCGCTGTCATCAAGGAACCAAAGAGGCCGATCGTGAAGGGCAGGGAGGAGGGAGGAGAGGGAGTTGCCATGGCAACAGCGGTTCAGAGTCGTCAGGCTGCTGCGGTTAATGGGGGAAGACGGCAGGACCTGCACGCCGCTCCAGAGAAATTTCTCGAGCAGAGAGAAAAGGGGCAAAACACTAAAAAGGCCCACATATTGGATCTCCTGGCCATGCGTGCGACCAGGAGAATTGCTCGGGTCTCAGCTTGGGACCGATTTTAATCCTGAGAAGTTATTTAACAGCACTGCTCCCTCCTTTGCTGCAGGATTAGGAACAAAACGAGGAAAAAAAGGCAGAACAAAGGGGAAATATGCACAGCTCTTTTAGAGCATGTAGACGAGGAGAGACGAACATCAAAGACTCTTCTTAAAGGGCCCATATCATGGGCCATATTTTTTGTTTTAATATAACAGAATTTGATGTATGCAAACACTGTTTCAACACATACCATTCATTTCCCAGTCTTTATATGGACATGAAGCCGCAAAAACAGCCCATTTTGAATTCACTGTTTTTGTGACGTCACTAAAACTAAGACATTCACATACAGTCGAAGGCAAAAGTTTGGATTTGTTTGTTAGTGTACAATTTATAACTGTTTGTTGAGTTTAATATATTTGAAAAAAACATAAAATATAACATGTGCCATAACTTTTGCACAGGTCACATTTTGTTTTTTTGTGCGTTAAAATGTTTTTTCTGTCCAAACTTTTGCATACAACTGCAAATCTGTCTATTCAGCATACAGCAGTTTAGCTCTGCCCATCCACGCTGAACTTACAAGGACTGTTTCAGCCTGGACTGCTTTTGGAATGAGGCACAATACAGTGTAGCCAACTAGAACAGAGCTCATTTACATATATCAGTCTTAAAGGAAGAGTAAAGTAACAAAAGCAGCCTGTTTAAGGGATAAATAGAGTCGTATACAGAGGCCAGTCAGTTATTTACAAATCAAGTCTTAAAGGCACAGTAGCAAAAAATAGCCTGTGTAATTCTAAGGGATAGAACGAGGCTGGAAAATGGGCACGTAAAAAAATAATGAGCGGACCTCAAGAAAAAAAAATATGAGAAAAATGTAGGATGTGGGTCCTTCAAGAATAATTTGTTTACTAAAAACTTAAAAGTCAGCACCAAAACACAAGCTGAAGGTTTATTCATAATTAAAAGTTATCTTAGTTACAAAAAGAACTTACGACATGGTAAAAAAACAAGCATATGTAATAACAATGTTATTAACTATATCTATTTATAGATCAGCTGATAAGCAGGGGTCTAATATTGGTATTGGAAAAGAAAAGTGATGTTGTCTCATCTCTAGTTCAGGCCATTTGTACATGGCTGATACCTCCCATAACCCCAACACCAGGCCCAAGCGAATGAAAATCTACTGTATTGTAGATACAAAAACACAGCAAATGTTCTTAACAATACATGATTAACTATAATTATCCATTTATAGAAATTTTTTAACATAAAATTACTATGAATAGCCGTTTAAAGTTGTGTCATTCTAGATTACTTTTATTCTAAGTTTATTCTTGATTCTATACAGCTTTATTATGGAATCATCTACAGCTCTGTTCTTCATTAATTTCTTCATTTTTACAGCTTCCTAATAACAGTCTGAAACGTACAGAACCTTAGCCTCAAACAGAATAACTGTATACATAGTGTGCATGTATGTACGCGACCCTGGACGCTGTGTAAGATGATACTGTACCTTTGGGCCCTTTAACCAGTTTGATCTCCATGACTTTCTCAGAGACCGACTTTCTCCTTCTGACGTAGAGTCTGACCAGTGAGCCGGCCTCCTTCAGCGCTTCTACAGCCTTGCTGTGGGTTACGTCCCTAACGTCCACCTCATTCACACGCAGGATAACGTCATTCACCCTGCAGAGAGAGCAGCGCATTGGCATCAAGTTAATGATATGACATGGATCGAGATACGAGCTCCATGATGTATGAAACAGAAGAGAACATCAGCTGCACGGCATAACTGACAGTCTACTAACAGAGTGATTTTACAGGTCGGGTCCACAAGAGGCACTGGTCATCAGAAACAGCACACAGACCGAGATATACCTCTCTCCATCCGAACACCAGGCCCGAGCAAATGAAAATCTACTGTATTGCAGATACAATGTATTGGGTTATTGATACTGCTGCTCTGTAATGACAGAGTTATGTACATTTTCTCTGACCTTTAAGTGAAGTGAGCACCATATTTATGCTTATAAAGATATTTATGAAGCACTATGGCAATGCAGTGACACTGTAATGACAGTTATGTTTGTTTTCTTGGCCTCATAAAAAAGTGAGTTTCATTTTGCTGTTTATAAGATGAATCAGTATTGATGACAGTAATGAGTTATGCACATTGTATTTGGCTGTTCAGTCAAATGAGCAGTTTGTTCAGTCGTTTTTTGCTGGACATTCCGGCTTTATGGGGTCACATCTTTCCTTTCTCTCTTGGTGGTGGTGCTATAAGAAATTCCTGTACACAACATTTGATTAACACTGAAAAACTATCCTGATGTAGGACAATTTCAGGCCAATGTGAGTCATCTTTGGGAACGGCTTGGGTTAGAAATTTTGTCAGGATTAAAATGTCCAGTATGGTACTTTAAGAATTGAATGTGAAATGGACACTAAGGCCCCAACCCATTTCACCCCTCGCCCCTACCTCTTGGCCCTTAGCCCTCTGTTTTGCGCATTCACGTCTAGAGTTAGGGTGGCCCAATTTTTGTTGAGATAGAAGGGTAGGGCTACATGGCCCTCCAAACGGCGGCTTTTCAGAGACTCACTCCAAACAGAGTGTTATGGAAAAAAAAGAAAAGAAAAACCGGCAAGATGGCTGTAAAAAAGACCAAAGAAACCCAAAAATATAAGTGTTTTCTCAGTTAAAAATACAATAACCACCATATTTTCTTAGTTTAATGTGGTTTCAATGTATTATGGTCATTTTTTTCGTAAAAAGCATAAAAAAATTGCTAAAAGTATGCTAACGTCTCAGTAACTAGCTAGCTAACTTTTCCGTTCCACCTTAAATAGTCCAGCAGTTCTGATGCCTGAAGCGCCAGAATGTAACTGCTGCACCATTTAAGGTGGAACAGGAAAATTCAAACAAGTATCACCAAAAAAATAGAGGCAGGTGATAATAAATAACTATCCCCCCTTTTTGAAGGCATATGATGCCCTAAATGTAACTAAAGCCCAGCAGTGAGGAGCTGAACTTTACCCTCCTCTGCTATCGCTGCAGACGGGCAGGGTCGCCTACAGAGCAGCGCTAGTAGCTGTTAATGAAGTAATTTTATTTGAGGGTCCCGTTTCATAGGGCAAGATTTCAACCACTATCCCTTGTAACTTAGTTCCAAGGGGTTAGAGTGACTCTCAAAAACAAGTGGTGGGGTAAAAAGAAATGGGATTGGGCCCAAAAGAAACAGGACACAGACCATGAAATGGACATAATGCCACTACAAAGCTAGCAGTCATAACGCGCCACCACTTCACCTCGCAAAGTGTTACGACACAATTTGACAGTGAAGTTGATGAAAGCAGCCTTTATGACAACTGCCACTTACAGGAATAAGCTTTGGCCTTATCCAATTTGATAATTTGTATCCCATTCAATACTGATTTTAGGGGCAAAAAAGGTTTTATTTTATTTTTAATTAGTTCTCTTCATTAAAAAGTGTTATAAAATTCTATTCTCTTGCAAGGTTTGAATGCATTTTATATGCCTCATCAACAGGATATCGTCAGTTTGAATCCCACTGGTTATCAGCGCAATACTGGCCCATACAAATAATACAGCAGGTCACTTATAGCAGCCAAGTGATATACTGTCGGCCCTAGTCCAGCTGTCATTCGCCTAGACCATCAAAGACCAGCTTAACCAGAAACCAGCTACCAGAAAAAGCTGGTCTTAGCCAGATTTGTCAGCAGGGACCTCATTTATCCTAGGCAGACTGGCACTGATCCACTCAAAAAGACACGAAAACAGCAGACATACATCCATCCAGTCTTAGGCTCGGTACTGCTCTGATTCTGCATGTGCAGCAGGTCGAAATGACTTTTCACAGCACAGACAAGCGCCTGTCTTATTAGCAGAGATACGCACTGCAGAAAACAGATAATTACCTGAATATTCACGAACAAATCAAACCGAACTGCATCAACAAAACAAGAAAAACCTGCTTAACAAAGCATATTTCAAATACACACATAGGCCACAGCAGCACGGACCCCTTTACTAAAGTGTCACCCTGTCTCTCTCTCAGGCTGAAGTCAGGCTCTCATCAGTGTCAGCTCTGACCACACTGTCCACAGCTCTCCTGCAGCTTTAATGAGCCTCTCAGAGCACAAGCAGACACAGCCCAATACTCTCACTAACACACCTCACCGTCATCCTCCAGTTAGATTTAATACTGTATAATGCCCATCACATGTAATGACATATCAAACCAAATGCAAAAAGCATTCAAAACTCACCTCCAGGAATGAGCAATGTGGCAAAACTATATCACAACACTTCAGGACTTTCATTTCTCTGAGGTTTTATACGTCTGAACGGATGAAAAAGCCCCAGCGGTGCCACAAATAAAAGCCACTATCAGAAACTATGAGCACTGCTTTTTATTTAACGTTACACACTGCACTAAATCCAGTTAAGCAGGGCTAATTATGCTCACACTGTAATGAGACATGCAGCTGGACAGTGTTCCCTAAAGGGGAATCTGCACTGACTTTTAAAAATGTATGTGAACGTCATTCAGAGCAGTTTGATGTGAAATTCTCAGTTCTGGAAAGAATTACATAGTCAGAATTGTTCACAGTGGTGGTGACAGGAACCAGACGTCTGGAGAGTTTAATGCCTCTAAAAGCTCCCTCACAGAATGTTATACATGAAATGGCTATTAATACACGGTCTGATGCCTTAGGAACTGTTTATGACACTTTTGAGAAAAGATTTTGGTCTAAATATTTTTAAAAATTCATTCATGGTTGAAAGAAACATGCAGAATGCATCTACATCACATATTAAAACTCAGAGGACACGTGTTAAACTCAGAACAGATACATAGAAGAAACAGCTATATCTGTGCCATAAACATCTTGACTCCTGGTTCCTATCACCAACACTGTGAGGAAGTCTGTAAGTTCCTCCACAACTAGCCACTAAACGTCAAACCACTCTGAATGACTTTGTTCACATCTTAAATGTGCAGGAATTTTGAAAAATCAGTGTAATTCCCCTTAATGTACTGATGACTGATGATCAGAAAAGCACATTGTGACACAGTGTGACATGGGCCCAGTCCCATTTCACCCCTCGCCCCAACACTTTGCCCTTAGCCCTGTTTTGCGCGTTCACGTCTAGGGGTGTAGGGTGCACTGTTAGGGCTACATGGCCCTCCAAACGGAGTGTTATGAGAAAAAAAGAAAAACTAGTAAGATGGCTGCACAAGAGACCAAAGAAACCCACAGATGTGAGAATTTTCTCCGTTAAAAAATTACGATAACCAGTTTAATTATCTTAGTTTAATGTCGTTTCAATGTATTATGGCCGTTTTCGTCAAAACAAGCATAAAAATTGCTAATAGCATGCTAGTGTCTCTGTAACTAGCTAGCTAAATTTCCCGCTCCACCTTAAATAGTCCAGCAGTTCTGACGCCTGAAGTGCCAGAATGTAACTGCTGCTCCATTTAAGATGGAACAGGAAAATTCGAACAAGAACCTGGTGAATATCTGACTTCAGGTTCATATCGCTAAAGAATTAATAAATAATAATACATTTTCTTGTTCCCCCGTCTTTGAAAGCATATGATGCACTAAATGTAACTAAAGCCCAGCAGCGAGGAGCTGAACTTTACCCTCCTCTGCTGTCACCGCAGACTGGCAGGGTCGCCTACAGAGCAGCGCCAGTAGCTGTTAATGAATTGATGTTTTTTTTATTTGAGGGTCCCGTTTCGTAGGGCAAGATTTCAACCACTACCCCTTGTAACTCAGTTCCAAGGGGTTAGGGTGACACTCGAAAACAAGGGATAGGGCCATGATTTTTCACAATAACAATATCATATTTTCACAAACAACAGGCCAGAGCATCTGGAGCGAAGGTGTGCTTGTTGAAGGCTCGGCCTTACCGAAGTCTCCCGTCCTGAGCTGCAGCGCCTCCTGGGATGACTTTGGTGATGTAGATACTGGGGTCCTCTCCGATGTGAGGGTTATCCGTGCCGCCTGCAATGCTGAAGCCCAGCCCGGAATTACCCTGAACACACGAGGAGATGCAGGTTAACAGCACAGCAATGTTGGAACAACACCTCAGGCACTTGGCTTTAACCCCTGGACGCTACAGTTACTGCTGGCACCAACAGAAGTAGTTCTAATTAGTTCTACTGTTTATTCGGTAACTCACTAAACAAGCAGAGAAGGTGCTGACTGTAAACGTTCAATCCACATTATCTTAATGTTTGTGAGTAGAAGAGGAGATATTTTGATATACTGAATTTGATGGACGGTTATTGCTGTGTGGTCTTGCAGGCTTGAAGTGTTTGCCATGTTCCAAACATCGGAAATATAAACTTAAACTTCAATATAAATGAAACAGAAAGTCAATTCAATACACAACAGTTTACTTAATCATTGCATTTAACCTCTTAAACTCCCAGGCGCATTACATCTTAAGGCTTATTGTTCAGTACAATGTTGTGAAAAAGTCTGGGCACCCCTGGTCAAATTCCTTGCTTTGTTTATTTTCTAAGCGAAAATAAGTGAACGCATCCTCTACAGAGAACACACTTCAGGACATTTTAATACACAATTACTGTTTATTGGCTGAATTTCACATACAGGAAAAATATAAAAACAGAAATTGTGGCATGTGCAAAAAACTTGCACTAAAAATCTACAGAAGAATACCATGTTTATGTTTGTTCCCTGTGGAGGATGTTACTTTACTCACATTTTAAAAAAAAATCGACAACACACGTCATTTGACCAGCAGTGCCCAAACTTTTGTGTAAGACTGTAACAACATGGATAACAATGCAAACCGTTGTTATGAGTGTGAACTGAACGTCTGAAGCCACTGGCCATTTAGAAGGTTTAACAGTATTCCAAAAAACAGAAATAGCTTTTTTATTTTTTTCCTCTCCAATTTTAATCGTTGCCAAATAAGATGTCTCCATCACACGATGCTCCAAGCTGGGAGGGTGAAGGCTAGTGCCAACTTCCTCCGACATACGTGAAGCGTCAACACATCTTTTCAAACTGCGGTTAATGCGATGTCACTGGACAGCTCAACACGCTTGGAGGAGAACGCTAACTGCTAATTCTGATACATTAGCTAACAGACGTTGAGTGATGTGGACAGAGTGGAGGTGTCACATTTCAACTATGTCAAAACTACACAGCACTTCTTTTTTTTTGTGGGGGTGGGGTGGGGTGGGGGGGGTCTTTCATCATGTCTTTCCATCCTTTTTTTGAGTGTTTAGAATGTTTTAATAAATGTGGTGTTTCTTTTGTTTGTTTTTACATTTTTCTTCATACTTAAAGAGAATAAACGAATAACTCCAACATTACAGGTCAAACTTCTTACCACTGTACAAATATATTCTCCAGTCCACTATTTGTCCTGGCACTGTGCAACACAAATAAAACCAGGAGAAAATAACCCAGTGTTTATTCACTCTGTTGTCTGTAAGCTAATCAATGCATAAGATAAAGATGAATATGAAATTGTTCTTTTTAAACGAGTCATAACTTTTAAAAAAAAGTAAGATTAAGTGACCCTTTATTAGTCCCACAACAGTGGTAATTTCACCTCCACATTGTAACCCATCCGTGCAGTGAAACACCCCATACACACTAGTGAACACACACACTGGGGGCAGTGAGCACACTTGCCCGGAGCGGTGGGCAGCCCTATCCACAGCACCCGGGGAGCAGTTGGGGGTTAGGTGCCTTGCTCAAGGTCACTTCAGTCACGTACTGTCGGCTCAGGGGATCGAACTGGCGACCTACCGGTCACAAGGCTGGTTCCCTAACCAGCTACACACAGGCTGCGCCTCAATATGAACACTCCTATACCATTTAATGTACCAGTTAAATAAAGTAATTTCAAAATAGACGATGTACTAATGTAACATGCTGTTTAATGCATTATATGTGGTTTGAAAAGCAGAAAGCAGCCACTCCCACCATGGAAATCTCTACCTGTGCGTCCCTGCAAAAGCCTGCGAGCCAACAAGCGACAGAGAGAACGAGTGAGTGAGAGAAAGAGAACGAGTGAGGGATAGAGAGAGAGAGAGAGAGAGAGAGAGAGAGAGAGGGAAAGAGAGAGAGAGAGAGACGTAATGACAGGTCTAGACCATCACTTTATCTACATCAGTTGATGTACTGCATTTAGAGAGAGACTCCATCGGACATCTTAATGTCTGGTCGAGAGTATCAAATGGACAATGGACAGCGGACCATGGGCCTCAAAACCAGACAGGTCCAAAACCAGACACCTGGCAACCCTGGGGGAGAGGGAGGACTATCCTACCCACCTAGAGAGAGAACGCAAGGACAATTATGTTCTTTTGGGCTGGCGGCCACAGACGGCTGTGGCATCACTGGGGATCAAACTCGCGACCTGGCGACAGGGCCGACATCCAGAGAGTGCTGATTCAACAGAACCAGTCAATCACGAAAAGCAACAAAACCAGCGAGGGGGGTGTGCAGGAAACTCTGGACCTTTAGAGTCAATTCGGCGTTTAGCAGGGCAGAGCTGTTGGGAAGATGAGTCGGCCGTTAAGCGGCGTGACAGCCAGCCGAGAGGAGCATTGTTTATTTATGCCGAGTTAATAATGCGCACTTGAGAGAGCGATGCTCAATTGGGTCACACAAAAAGACGACGAAGGGGGGAGGGAGAGAGAGGGAGAGCGAGCGTGAGAGAGAGAGAGAGAGAGAGAGCGAGCGAGAGAGAGAGAGAGCCACAGGCACAGTCGGGGATTAAGTCTCAGCTGCAGAAGGCAAGATGGTGCGCTTTTTTCCCCCCCTTTCTTCCTTCATCCCCGGTAACGGTGGAGATAAGGCATGTTTGTGCGGCTGGAGAGCGCCGCTCCGGCTGGCTGGGCTCTACTGCCTCTGACATCTGGCATTTTAATTACTGTGCTTTAACTCTGCGAGGAGGAGGGGGCACTGCAGAGCCTCGCAGTCTGAAGAGCCTCTGCTCAGGACTGGGGCATAGATGCTTATTTGGGAAGAGATGAGTGAGAGATGTTAACTTCTAGAGATATCGCTGTCATTTTGCTATACATTTGATTAACATCATAGAATTATTTCATAACCCTTAAATGGCGAAGGTCCAGCATGGGGTCACAACATTCATTACTTCTAAGAATAACAGCCAGTTTGCGCTGCAGACTGTAGGTACTGAATAATAAGCCGTAGGATATAATAAGTCTGGTAATTTTAAGGTGCTGGATTGAATTACGAAATTAATTACATTAGGCAAGTCATTAGGAACGCACTGGTAATGGAAATCGTTCACTGTTGCTGCTACATACAATGACCGTATCTAATATTTATCACGTATATATCTGTCAAAGGTGATGGTGATATATCCAATATTTATATATTATATATCAATATGTATGTATCTGTTAAATGGCGATATATTTCATATTTTTCACACACACACACACACACACACACACACACACACATATATATCTGTCAATAGTAATGCCACCATAAACAACATTTTTCATGTACATATCAGCCACTCCAATAAATCCCATACCTGTTTTGTACATATCTGTTAATGGCAGCGAATTTGATGAAGCATCTGATATTTTTCGTACCCATATGTGCCAATGCAGATATATAAACATCTATAAAACGTACTAACTGGGTCCACCTGGACCAGCATTATGGAGAAATATAATTTATAAAGTTATAAACGCATCAAATATTTATTTTAGTGCAGTTTCACCTAAACATTCTGCTCTTCCCAAAGCACATTAAAGTTACCATCAAATGCTGGTTTGAAATATCAGCCAAATCTAATCATCTGCGCTATATTTTCCTATCAATATCTGTAGATAATTGTTATGATCCATATATATGTAATGAACTGCATATTAAATTCAGATTCAATTAACGAGCTAGATTTAGATTCAAAACACAAAGGTGGTGTAGACTGACAGCTTAGACCCCGTGTGTCAAACACAAGGCAGACAAGTCAGGCCTGTGGCGCAATCCTATTCGGCCCACAAAATTATTTAAATTTTCTATTAATATTAGCCCAGTTCCCAGCATGCACTGCAACCTAACGTGTGCTCCCACCCCGTCCCTAACAATTATCTATGGGACAGCACCACAAGAACAAAAAATAAATAAATAAATAAATTTAAATAAAAAAGACGCCAGGTGTCCAGTTCAAGCGAATGGGCAGTTTTAAAAACCTACTGTACATTGAGGACATTTAAAGAGGTTTAACAGTTTTCTGCAGCAGAAAAAAACTAAGTTTTTATTTAAAATTATTTTTGAGTCGTTCAAGTATTGTTCAAGTATTCAGTGCCTATTTTTTGCCGCTGTAGTTTTGGCTTATTGTGAATAAACAATGGCCAGTTGAGGTCATCATAAAAATGTTAAGTAGAAATAAAATAAAAACACAGCTGGGCCACTGATTTGTTGAGATTTTTTCATATGGCCCTTTTAGTGGTTGAGTTACTCAGCAACAGGTAAGAATGAGCTGATATGAATTTACACCATACTCATGCTACTGTCAGCAACCTCTAACTGTTAAATGACGTGTCACATGAGATAAAATCAAGAATGGGAAAAAGAGTTAAATACGATGTGAGATGTGATCAAAAACATATTACGTCTTCTTTTAATGTCCTCACCAAGAAAAAAAGCAATGGAATTTTATTTTTTGTATTTTCTGTTTGGGGCAATAATAATTTTTTTTTTTTATTATTTTTCTTTGTGTTAGTGTTGTTTCTTTGTTTTTTTTTGACCCCACAATTTTTTAAATATTCACGTCTACCAAAGGGTCACCAAATGGTTGAGCAGAACATTAAAGGGTTAAGCAGCTCTCAGTGATGGGGCGGGGGGATTATCTGCTGTTTACTGTCAGAGACCACGCTGGATATTACGCTGGATGCCAGTCATGCTAATAAATTCAATTAGAAGAGATATCATCCTAATCACAGTCTATCAATCTCTCCCATCAATCAGCGGAATGTGATGAACACAGCTGCAGGCTGCGCTGCCCCAGCACGAGGAGAGTCGGTCAATAAAGCCTGAGGCGAGGCTTTTGCGGTCAGTCAATGGCTGGAATAGGAGAGTACACCAGTGTGAAAATGTATACAAATACAAAACAGACTCACTCGCTCAAGTGTGATCTCCTCGTACTCATAGTCCGCCTCTGTGCCGTTCACCTGGAGGAAAACACAAAGACAGTTAGATTTGCCACTAGTAACTGAATTAGACACAACTTCTACACAATTACCGGCACATTCTGGCCCAAATAAGAGTCTAATGTCGCTGCCGTTCAGGACAAAACCTCGTATCCCCAATTTTGTTTTTCAGTTTCAGTTTCTGTTGTCATTCACATTGCGTGTAAATTTCATGATGAATGAACCAAAAGAAACGACACAAAATGACTTGGAAAAAACGTCTGGTTCCATTGACTTACATTAAAAGTAAAGTAGGTTTTTTCCTTCTCCTGTAAAGTTACCATTTTGGAGATACGAGGTTTTGTTCCCGACAGCAGCGACATGTTACTTGTTGTGTTATGTAACGTCCTGTAGTGAATCACTGAATCGCTCAGCCTCATCAGTTTGTTCATAAATGTCTTTTCACTACAATACCCAGCATGCATTACACGAATACATGACCCAACCAACTGCATTAAAGGGCCTAATTCCTTTTTCTTGTATGTTTCACTTATAACTTGTGTCGCTTCATATATCAATCATAACTCATTTTTACATGACCATTTTCCAACCTCCTTTGGAATTAAACAGGCTGTGTTTGTTACTGTACCTTTAAAACATATGATATATGTAAATCGACTCTTTCCTGATTGGCTGCCCTGCATCTGTGCCTCATTCAAAAGCAGTCAGCGCTGAAACACTTCATATAACCTCAGAGTGGACTGGGCCGGGTTGGGCCGGACTGCAGGTGGCGATATGTAAATGTGCTGATTTTTTTGTGACATCACAAAAACAATGAATTCAAAATGAGCTGTTTTTCCAGCTTAGTTTCCACATGTGAATCGTATGCACTAAGAAGGGAGTGCTACATTTTAAAACATAACATTTTCATTCCACTTTTCTATGATACGGGCCCTTTAAAAACCATTAAGAAGTATAATTATGAAGTTTTCTCTTGGGGACGAAGTTAAACATCATTCCCTCCCTCAGTTTTGAGAGAATTCAAGCAGCAGGATCAACATTGTCTTGTTTTAAAGTCGCAAAATATAGATTCAAGCACGCCAAAAAGTGAGTGTAGCAGAATAATATTCGTGCCCAAGTTGGAAGAGCCCACTACACGTACACCTGCAGCAGACAGGGTCTTTAACAGAAGTGAATTCCTATTTAACTGTCCATCAAATACTGCATGTCTAATATATTCACAGCTCCCTGCTTATTTTGCCCATTACAGATGCATTAATATGCCGAATGACTCACACGGACAGCAAGAGCCAGCTACTCCAGCTTTTATGAAATGAGCATCCAATGCCTTCGGTGCCTCGAGGTCAAGCTACCGCTCTATAGCAGTAATACGTGCTAATTATTTGCAGCTAAAAATTGGAGATTTATGTAAACATGCTCAAATGTAGTCAGTGAAATCCAGCAATGCAGAGCAGCACTGTTGTGTAATGCAGACACCTATGCATCAGCCACGTCTCATTAGAATATCAAAACAAGAAAATATTCAGTCTCGCTCTTTTCACACGTACACGACGCAAATATACTGCGTTCCTCAGCTTTACAGGGAAATTACACCATTTTTTCACAATTTCTACTTAATTAAATAGTTAAGATGTAAAGTCGTTCAGAGTGGTCAGGTGTGAGACGCTGTGTTCCAGAGAAACCGGCTGCACTGTTCACAGTGGTGGTGATAGGAACCAGACGTCCACCTCTAAAATCTCCCTCACCCAAAGGTCTTACATGAAATGGTTATGAATACTCAGCCTGATGTCCGAGACATTGTTTTATGATTGAAACTGTTGACCTAAAATATTTTATTTGAATCCATTCATGGCGGAGAGGTGTTTTAAAGCAAAAAATAAACAAACAGATCAACAGATTTTTTTCTTTTACCATCATCAACATCACAAATAACAACTCAAGATGCATGCAGGTTCACTGGTTGTTTTGGATAATAAATAAAATGGTTATATTTGCGTTGTAGACATGGCAACCCCTGGTTCCTATCACCACAATGGTACCATTTCACATCAAATCACTCAGAAGGACTTTGATTTTGAAAAATCGGTGGAATTCCCCTTTAAGGAGGTCATTATAAGTCACTAAAATCAGCTAATTACTGAGACTGGCTGGGTAACACTGAGAGGTGATGGTGATGGGTCATGCTAATGGAGGGATTAAAGCCATATCACAGGATGCTGTCCATGCAGTTAAACAGCTACTTTCAACAAAAATACATCAACACACCACTAATACATACCAAAATAATGCAAATAATCCATACATTGCAAACAGCTGTACTAATCGCCAGGGCTTCTAATTTAACCCTTGTGTGTTGTTCAGGTCTGTAGGACCCATTTTCAATGTTTACAAAAGAAAAAATGTGATTTATTATTATTTCAACCTCAGATTATTGGCCTTTGCTCATTTTCTGTGAAGAACATATAAAATAACCCAGTGTCTTCACTCTGTTCACCCCCCACACATTTATATTACACATGTGGTGTTGGGTGAACCTGCGGGGAGTAAAAGTGTGGAGGTGCTGTGTCCTTCGCTCTGTTCTCCTCCTGCATGGCCTGCTGTTAGTGTGTGTGTGTATGTGTGAGGGTGGACAACATGGACAGGCTGCTGACTGGCTACAGCTGCTAAAGGAGAACGCTACGCTGGACACTTGTGATATTTAAACATCTGGTACTTTTACATAAACTGTTTTGGCTGTATTGATTAAAAAACAATAATGTGGTGGGTCACCAGACCACTGAGTAACAAACACATCAACACCACACAGGGGTTTCATACAGATGCAAGAAATTAAATTCTCCTTAGCCAACTTCTCAAAAAATCTGCATAATTAAAAGGTAAACATGTAAAGTCATCCAGAGTGGTTTGATGTCAAGTCAGCATTGTTCACAGTGCTGGTGATGGGAACCAGACGTCTGAAGAGTTTAATGCCTCTAAAATCTCCCTTACAGACAGTTATTGCTTGAAATAGTTATGAATTCACTGCCTGATGCCTGATTGTTTATACAATAGTACAGAGAAGACTTTGGCCTAAAACACACTTTTTAGAAGCCGTTCCTGGCGGTGCAGGAAGTTCTGAGACAGAACAGCCCCTGAAGAAAACCTTAAGTTCAGATATGACTCCTATAACACATCTGCCACCGATGTATCGCGCATCCCTGTCAGTGATGTATCGTGCAGGCCCAGCCTGATGTGCGTGCAGCTGCAGCGCGACTGTAACGGCTCAAATGAGTTTCAGCTCACGCTGAGGCAGAGGGATATTAATGAAATCAGAGCAGCAGGCTCGCTCCACAATAGCAGGAGGATAAAGCCATTACAGAGCAGGAGCTAATGACAGTAATGATAGCACAGCAGCTGAGCCGCTCACGTGCACGCACTCGCACCAAACGCCTCCCTGGATCTGCTGCCAGCTGTCAGTCACGACCAACAGCACCACATGTCAGTACTGACGGCGGCGCCAGGCAAGCAGAACTCACTTTTATTTTCATTTAAACAACAGACACATTAAAACCACAGAACAGTTTTGAGCCCTTTTGGTTATTTTGACCATCTTTGTTGAGAAAAAATAGCAAAAAAATAAATAAATAAATAAAAAAAAGCATTGGCACGTCAAAATCTGACACTTTACCAATAAATTTAGGTATTGAAAATAGTGATAAAAACAATGTTCCCTCCGCCCTCCTGCACCGGTAAGCACACGCGTTTTAACACGAAAAATGTCAACTGTGTGGAACTACAGGGAGATTCACTCGAAAGAGGCCCCGAATATTCTGTAATGACTCTTGCTAGGATGAAGCAATCTGAACGAAACAACATGCAATGTGTTCCTCAGTATGTGGAGCTTCTAACAAGCCGGGATGCCCCTGCGTCGGAGCGATCAGGTAGGCGCCGGACAGCCGTCACAACGTTTAACCTCCGTTTGCAACTTACGGGTGCAGACCCCCGAACCCCTTCACTCAACCTCTCATCAGGAGGGTGATGTACAATATTGAGCATATTGAATCTCCCTGTATTTCAGTTCTATGAGCAACATTAGAAAAGCTATTTATAATATCTGTTTATGTAGAGTATCAAAAGGAGACAAAACACAAATACCTCTCCATTACAGGTTTGATTCAACTTGGAGACACGACATCCAGCTTAATACACAGCAAAACAACAGAAGCAGAAAGTCCACTGACGCCATTCATAGCCTCAGTTTTATAAATGATGAAAAAAAAGCAGACTAATGATAAACAGACAAAAATGATATCCCAAAAAACAAAAGAACTGTCTTGCATGATCAACTGTTCTCACAGTTGGTTTACACAGCTTATGCTGTATTCTACATACTGTAATCATTTTAGGAAGAAGGTTATTTTATGTAAACTTTGTTTGTTTGTCAGCTTTTTTGGTTTCAGTTTACAACAAAGTGTGTCCTGAATTTCGATTTCTATGTCGGTGTAAGACTAATTTTATGTTTCTATTGCTTAAACATGCACAAGAATCAAACCAGACATGTAAACATTAGATTTCAAAACAATTTGATTACAATTCTTCAGGAAATTATTGTGTATCACAAAATTATAAATAAATAAATTAATTAATTAATTATACTTTGGTATAATTCAGAGTTACTCTTAATCCCATAGTAGTGAAATACTGAGAGAGACTTCAAACATCGGTCGACATATTTTAAGAAAAATGAAAATATTGACCAGTGTTGCTATTTACTGTAGATACAATAATAATTCAAAACATTATGAAAACATGATATTAAACTACTTAAATCTCATGTTTGAATGAAAAACAAGACGCGATACATGAATGTCCCAAGAACTTCATTTGGGCCAAAAATAAGGGATGAGAATATTAATATAATCGACTGTAAGTAATTCTAATAATCCAAAATGAATGCAGTTCATCTTCCGTTAAAGCACATCATGATGCACTGATGCATTCACACCTCTAGTACAGACCAAATGATCAAAGATTCTCATTTGCATTAACTCAGATTCATGTAGAAACAAGAAATAAGACTCTCCGTAGACTCCTGCAACTCCTTTTAAATATTTGATGTTATTTGGCTTTGAGCTGTTGAGCAATCTACACAGAGCACTGCCATTACAGAGCAGCACGCTTTTACCTCCTCAGTGAAAGTGAAGCAGACCTTCACTTACTCTCCTTAGAAAACACGGATAACTGTTCAGACTCCTGAATTAGTTCACTCACTGTTGGTTTTGGATAGTAAATAAAAAGCCTGTATTTCTGCAGTGAGTCTTGGTTCCCATCACCACCACTCTAAAGACAAGAGCACCACTGTAAAGAGTCTTAAGCTTCTCTACAATGAACTATTTCACATCAAACCACTCTGAATGACTCTGTTTACATCCCAACCACTGAATTATACAGAGATTTTGAAAGACTGTCAGAATTCCCCTTCAAATAACTTATTTTAGCAAAATCAAAGCCTTTTTTAAATGTGAAATTTTTGTTGGTGGATTTTACAAAAAACAAACTGAAATATGTATCATGTATCATGAAAACGTCTATTAAATGTTCTGCCTAGTTGCATAATCTGTAGTCTTCAGAGTCTTTTCTTCTGCATCCTGAATCACTCCCTGCTGTTTCCTTGGCTGGAATAAGCGTCAGTCAAAGTGACCATTTATCTGCCACACGTCAATCAAAACGAGAAAGTAACGGGTACCTGACCCGGGGCTGCAGGAGAGCCCAGCTCTGACTGATTATGTAACACAGTGAAGGAGAGAATAGGAAGCAGCTGGATAGCTGAAGCTAACCAAGTCCTGATTTCAGGACCACGGACAGCACCGCAGTACAGGCCGTTAGCATATCCTGCTGACCTCCGACTTAAAGCTAGTCGTATTCAGAAGGTGGACGACCGCCAGTCAAATCAGTCAGATTTTTTTAGATTTCAGATTTTGAGTACTTTCTAAGTAGAAGTGGTTTTATTCTATAATTCCTATTTCTTGGCTGAGTTTAACATATCACAAAAAACATACTTTACTTTTAATGTAAGTCAATGGAACCAGACTTTTTTCCAAGTAATTCTGTGCCATTTCTTTTGGTCATCATGAAAATGGAGATATGAGGTTTTGTTCCAACAGCAGCGAAAATTATAAATATAAAACATGCCATAACATTTGAACAGGCCACATTTTATGCTTAATTTTTGCCCCCAATACATTAAATTCAACGAGTTAGTAATTGTGTATTAAAATGTGCAGGGGTGTGTTCTCTGTAAAAGACAGGTTCACGTATTTTCATTTAAAAAAATCAGCTAAACACAGACTTTGATGTCACAGTTCCACACCTGGTGGGGCTAAAATGAATAGGTTTGTTTAAAAAAATATAAAATTAAACAAAAAGTAAAGAGTCACTGACTGACTGACTGACTAAAACTAATTTTCAACACTACATTGTAGAGGTTAGCGCTAAACACAAGCAAAGGCTTCATCAACAGCATCGGTGTTGTGTTTTTGACCATTCGGGGCTCCAAATGAGCTCCACTCATTATGCTAACTTTGTCATCTAACATCTTTCTAGAATATCACATTTTTAGCAAAGCAGCAATAAAAAGTACTGCAACTGATTTTTAATGAACTTTTACATAATGTAACTGCAGAAACTGAGAAAGAGGTCATAAATACTGCGATAGTCCTCTCTCTGAACATGAAATCATGCAAGTTTCAATGCATGGGAACGCCTGCTCCCCAGCTGCAATGGAGATTTTAATTTGTTTGGCAGTTTTGGGTCAGTTGTCTGTGCAATTGGGGGGGTTTTCTCTACCCCCAAAATAAGCTGCATGAATTCGATCCAAGTTGGTGGTGCATCGCCCCCACAGTACTTTAAAAAGTGGTGAGTTAAACACCCACCAAATGTTTTATCACCGCACATGACAACTTATGACCACATATGACAGCAGCCATGACATGTTTATGGCATGGTTATGCCAATGTAATGTAAATGAGTTCAAGTAAAGTGTTAAGTTTTTATTATATCATATTATTTTAGGGGTGCGGGAAAAAAATCGATTCTTAGATGCAGCGCGATGCGGACGTGAACGATTCTGAATCGATTCACAAATGTCAAATGTCTTTCAATGTTCAACTGTTTTACGAGGCTGAAGTCGCTTCTTATTCTCCAGCTTCTTGTTCGAATTTACCCGCTCCACCTTAAATTCTAACTGAGGCGGCGAATGTAAATGCGGCACCATTTAAGGTGGAACGGGAGAATTCGAAAGAAAAGCCACTTCGTCACTTTTTAGTGTGTGACAGTCTCTTGTTGCAGATTTAACGTATCAGGAAACCAACTGCGCTGCTTATAAATGCGAATAACGCATCGCTGCTATGTGACCTGCAGTCTGCACGCCGGTTCTCAGTCGTTGTGAAACACGGCTTTTGCGCTATGCTGCACACGACCCGTCTCAAAGATACTTTACTGACACAGCGACCCCCCCGTCTCTACAACGAGACCAAAACCGAAGTTATAAAATCACTATAGAAAATGAGTAGAATAGCTATAACATGTGCTGTGTGGAGATCCATCACCACTGGATCTTATTTCACCGTAACTGCGCATTTTATCACAGATGAGTAGCAGCAGCTTCTCATGCTCCAAGCAAGAGCACTGAATGAAAGCCTTCAGGTTCATCTGCCACATCACTTCCACTTGATTTATTAAAAAAGATTTTGGAAGTAAATTCATTATGGATCATTACAAATACTTTGCTTTAAAAGTACCAAGTCACTTTAAATAACAGCACTGAGTCACTTAGTCACTTTAAAATGTATATTGTCTCTATATTCTGTGTATATTTTGTGTATATTTAATATATTTCAGTTGGTTTTTCATGTATTTTTATTTTCACTTATTTACTTTCTGTCGAGTGATTAGCTGAGCCTCACCACAAGCATTTCAATGCATAAATGTCCTGACATGTTGTGCAAATGACAAATAAACTTGAAACTTGAACTCGAAACTTGAGCTCACACAGTGAGAAAATATAAATGCTATATAGAAAAATAAGATGCATCGATAATCGTTTTATAATCGCATCCCAGCCCTCTGAATCTTAATCTAATCGAATCGTGAGGTGCCTAAAGATTCCCACCCCTATATTATTTCACATTATTTTTCTTTTCAAGGTCTAACAACATTACTGTTATATGGTGATCGAGGTCCAGGTCAGTTTCAGACAGATTTTTTTTGACACTCTTTGGATCAAAACTTAACGCAGTTTGGGATGGGCTTGGACAGAAAGTTTTCAGATCATAATTACAGGTCCAATAAAAGCTCTTATATGTCGCTTTACTCCGTCTCTGGTTGGTGGCATTTTGGTTCGGATCAAGTCTGCACAGAAATCTATCGAACTATATTTGGCCTATCAAGTTACCCTAAACAAGCCAACCTCTGCGGATTACTCACACCTTTCCTCCTGAGCACAATTTCTCCATGGAGACCAATTAGAGAGACCCCAATTATGAGAGACAAAAAGGCATGAAACCCCCTGGGGGCTCCATATGCTACTCAGAGTCAGCGTGCTGCTGGTTCAGCAAAAAAAAATAAACTGAGGATAGCGTGTGAAGCAATCGGTAAGAAAAGCACAGGCAGCCCTGCAGAGGGACAGATTAATGCTGGAGCGACCCTTTCCCCCTTGCTGGAACACCCAGGGGACATCTAAGCCTGGTCATACAGAGTTGAAAAAACTGCTAGGCTAGGCTAACCCACTACATTAACTGTGGAATTCAATTTGTGACCCTACTAACGAAGATGCAGTACTGATCTGAGGACTGAATCAATTAATTACTGCTATTCGCTGTATACGTTATATATTACTAACGGTAAAAATGCTATGCTGACATTACCTTGGCTTGTCTATTGTCTTTTAAAGGGCACATATCTTACATTTTAGTTGTATAATTTTTACAAGACATTTCAGGTCCACATATTAAATTTGTGTGGGTTTTTGTATCAAAAACAGACATCATTCGTTTTTACAAGACCTCGCCTCAACACTTCGAATGAAACAGGCCTTTAAAATTGACGCAGTTGTATGCAAAAGTTTGAACACCCCCCCGTCAGATGATGTTTTGTTGATTTTCTAGGTGAAAATAAGCTAATAAGCATATTATATAACTTTTACAGGGAAAATTTTTTTTTCTTTGCTGGTAAAAATAAACGCTAAAATAAAAATTGTGCCATTACTTTTGCACAGGTCATGTTTTACCTTTACATTTATTTTTTTATATGTTCTACTCCCCCAACATCTGTAGATGATGTATATTTATTTATACATATTTATTTTATATTACTTTGACTTGGTGGCACCCAAAGTTTTGCATATTTTTGCATACATTTGCTCTGTATTGTGCCTCATTCAAAAAGCAGTCCAGGTGAAACACTCCTTATAACACTGTGAGTGGGTGGAGCTAACCTGCTGAATAGGCAGATGTATGTAAATGTTTTCTGTGACATCACAAAAACAATGTTTCACAGTTTCTATATACGGCCTGTATGGACCAAGGAATAAAGGGTGTGTTTTGAAAGTAACAGCTTTAACATTTCGCATAAAACTTCAAAAAAAAAAGCGAAAGTAAAGTACAGCTACCCTTTCCTATCCTATCCTGTCCTAACTGGACACACACAGATGGAGCACCACAATAACAACAGGAACCATCGATATGAATGCATTTCTTGCACAACTGCACCCACATTTCGTACTCGGACAAACGCAGCACTGCATATAAACATTAGTAAGAGATACTTACGTATGGGGCTGAATCCAAACTTTCCGTATTCACCACAACAGGGGGTGGATTTGCCTGCAAAAGAGAGTAATCCAGTTAGGCATCCTTTTTTTTTTTTGCATGCAATCAAATTCTTCTTTGTTTTCAGTGGACGCCACTAACTACCAACACTCTACGACAGCTTTAAAGGTACACTAACTTACTCTCCTCATGACGCTACACATACCAGCACTGGCACTCACACGAGATTAAGGCAGTGTGCCCAGCAATACGTACGTACGTCGCATTTTATGCTGCAGAAAATACAGTGCTGGAGCATGAATGCTACTACTTCTCAAAATAGCCTAAATTAAATCCACTTCCTCTTGCTCTCTCTCTCTTTCTCTCTCCTCCGCCGGGGGCTGTCCACTTCCTCTGGCTGCCTGGCACACAGACGCTGTTTTAGAGGAGGGGAGGCGTGTGCCACTCCAGCCCATTCTCTCTCGGGCCGGTAATCTCTACAGCCCCATCAAAAGAGCAGTGCAATGACAGGGATCAACAGAAAATGACCAACAGAAAAGAAGGAGGGGGGGGTGGAGAGGAGAAGGAAAAAAGGAGAAAAAAAACACAAAAAACCTGTGACGTCGGTGGAGGGATGACTGCGGCCTCCGCAGGGACGGGCGAGATTGGGATCACGGGGATTATGGGAGCGGAGGGTGGGGCAGCATCTGTCTGCTAAACAATAGCATGGGGGGAAGAGGTCAGGTCACATACATACACAGCAGCAATACATAGGGGGCCAAGCATGGAGGGGGATGGGAGAGAGCCAGAACGTATGCATGTGAGGTAAATCCCATGCGTGTGCAGCTGTGGATGGCTGCAAAATGCCATATGTGTACTTCCTAAAGGACGTTGTGCAGAAAAGCAGTCTAAACAGGTCACATACAGCACTGTGTGAAACTCAGAGACCACCCTTCACTTATTAAACTTGCAGCCAATTTTTCAGCATCAGGAACAAAGCAGAAAATTTGTATTTAACAGAAAATAGTAGAGTAGAAAAAAAAATCAGTCTAGAAATGTAGCATTTTCTGCTTCTACCATCCAAGTAATCCTAAACACATTCACTGATGTTGAGGTCTGGACTCTGGGGTGGTCAGTCCATCGTTCAGCTTCTTTGTTTGATGTGTCCGTCTCCTTTTCTCAGTGAGGTTCTTCTCGACAGCTACACATCCTTTCAGACCCACAGCGCTGAGTCGTCTTCTCACAGTGGAAGGATGGACAGAAGCACCTGTGGATGTTTTCAGATCTGAAGCAGCTTGATTTTCTCCTCTCTCTCAAAGATGAAAGCTTTAAGTGCTGTTTATCTGATGGGGGCAGTTTTGGTGTCCGCCAGCTCTTCCAGGTGGTTGTTAGGAGGAACATTTTCTCTGTAGCTTTTAATCATTTTTTGAACTCGGTTTCTTTCTTATGCAAGTGGTTTATCGTCTATCTAATCTCCTCTCAAAAATCTCTTGAAAAATGTATAACTTGTACTTCATGTCTGTTCTGACTGGAAATTAAATAGATGAAGGGTGGTCTCTAACTTTTGCGCAGTACTGTATAGAGGGGAAGGCCTGTCAAATGTATTAAATAATTGACCGATCGTGATTATATGAGCTGATCATAATTATTCTCCAGATATCGTCCTTGCAAGCAAAATCAAACAGAAAGTGAACTGGTGAGTTTTCATCAGTTGAGTTGAGGCAGATACAAGTACATAAGAGGAAGCAGAAAATGTACCACAATTATTATGAAAATAAAAGTTTTCATTTCTGACTTCTGCTATGACACCTTTAGAGGGCAGCGGTGAGTAATTTCTGCTTATCTGAGCTCAAGCTGTGTCTGTCATCAGATGGGAGCTGCTAAGTATCTACAGCTAGGAAGCTAATCAGACAAGTTAGCCACTTCAGGCTTATGCTTATGCTTTTAAAGACCCTTAGCATCCAAAAGTGTGGTTTTAAACAATTAACACTTTTTTCAGATGGTTTATTAAGACTATACAGATTGGTATTTGTGTGAAATAGCTAAAGTGTTAAGACGGGGTGTATCAAGTAATGCTATGTGAAATTTTTACTCACTGGTCATTTTATTTAGTACACCTACTACATTGGTGCACTTTGTAGGTTTAAATAATGCCTGGTCAGCAGTGGTCCAATTAATGGATGGGGTATGAGGGGGGCTGATGAATTGTACAGCAACTGATTAGCTCATCTGTAAAAGTACACCTACAAAGTGCACCTACAGCCATATGAAAAAGTCTGAGTATGTTTGGTCAAATTACACGGTTTTGTTGATTCTCTAAATGAAAACTCATCCAGAGAACACACTTCTACACATTTTAATGCACAGTTATAATTTATTAACTGAATTTAATATTGTATATTGTAAATTGTATAATAATAACACATGTGCCATAACATTTTCACAGGTCACATTTTATGTTTTATTCCCCACCCCTAATTTATAAACTTGCTGACAGGGCTTCCAAATGATGTATCTGTATAATGCATGTGGGTAATGAGAGAACAAATGATGAAGAAAAACATTAAAACGATATAAAATCATGAACTCAATCCGACAGACAACATATTAGGCTCTCATTTTAGGCCAGAACACCCTTTTAATGTACCAACATCACCAAGGAACTCATGTAAGTATTTTACAAAAACATTATACATAAAGGTTTACTGACCGGATATAACTGCTGCCCAATGGCTTCTATATAAGTGTGCTTTGAGTGAACAAGTATTCTGTACTAACATAAATGCAGGAAAAAGTCAAAGCCAGTTTAAGGGAAGCTTGACCACTTCCTATTTCTCTCATTATACCAAAAATAAATATGCAAAATGCAAGAGGGTGCCCGCAAGCAAGTCCTGAATGGAAGAGAATGGAGCTGAAAGACTAAACGAAAAATTAAACACTTTTCTATTTATTTTTGGGGGGACTTGCTTTAATTTTGGAAAAAAAAAAACAAAAAAAACAAAACAAAGAAAACTTTGCAGAGTAGGACGCCAGCGTTACCCCTACTCAGTGCTGACTGGATGGTGAGCTGATCAGCTCTGTGGCCGAGTAAAGCAGTTTGCTGTCACTGATGTCATGAACGTACAGTCGTATGCAAAAGTTTGAACACCCCTAAGTGAGAACAAGTTAACACATCCTCTACTGAGAACACTTAAATATGGCATTAGTACATTTTAGTGCACGCTTTCTATTTATTTGCTGAGTTTGTTTTATTTGGGGGGTCGGGTAGCATAAAATATAAAATGTGCCATAACTTTTGCACAGGCCACATTGTATGTTTTTTTCCCCAGTATGTTAAGTTCAGCAAATAAACAGTATTTGTGCATTAAAATGTGCAAAAAGTATTTTCTGTAAAAGTTGTGTTAACTTATTTTTACTTTAGAAAATCAACGAAACATAATTTGACCAAGGGTGCCCAAACTTTTGCATACAACTGTACATAAAGCAGTGTAAGAAAGTCTGACAGCTGGAGTTGAAAAGCGCTTAAAAATATAACAGTGTTGAATTATTTTATTCTGTGTAAAAGGAGGGTCAGAAATCTGTTGTAAGACCAGAAGGGCTGAGATCTGAACTCAGCGTTAGTGGACATGGTAGCTCTGTAAGGTGTGACAGTCCGGTCAGCAGCTTCCTGCTGTACAGAAGAGAACATACAGGCCTAAACACTTTGAGACAGAGGAGAAAGAGAGTCTGCATACACAAACGGCAGATGTCTATAGTCTAATATGGCTTACGTCCTCAGGGACGACCCCTGAGGGTTTCACGCTTTCAACCTCACCCACTTTAGTCCATGTACAGCTAAGCTTCAGTAGAAAAGACAAACAGGTTCTCCATCTAAAGGTTCTACAGGGCCTGTCACAGTTAACACACAACTGCCTGATCTCGATTATTTGACACGATCGTAATTATTTAAGCTTTTTTTTTCCTCCAGTCATTAGATTTCAGTCATATTACGCTGCAACAAACAAAATGTGAATTGGGTGCGAAGGGTTAAGACAAATAAATGCAAGTAAAAAAAAAGGTAATGAATAAATTTTGGGGCAGTCGTGGGCTGGAGGTTAGGGAACCAGCCTTGTGACTGGAAGGTCGCTGGTTCGATCCCCTGAGCCAACGGGACATGACTGAAGTGCCCTAGAGCAAGGCACCTAACCCCCAACTGCGACAGGGGGCAGTCATGGGCTGGAGGTTAGGGAACCAGCCCTGTGGTCGCTGGTTCGACCCCCTGAGCCGACAGTATGTGACTGATGTGCCCTTGAGCAAGGCACCTAACCCCCAACTGCTCCCCGGGCGTTGTGGATAGGGCTGCCTACGGCTCCGGGCAAGTGTGCTCACTGCCCCCTAGTGTGTGTGTTCACTAGTGTTGTGGGACTAACAAGGGTCACTTAATCTAATCTAATTAAAAATGCACTGATTGAGACAATTTATGAAAAAGTTATAATTCTAGCTTGCTATAAAATATTTAGGGGCAGCACTGAGTAATGTTTATGTGTTAGCTACACAGCTAATTTAATGTTTTAGGCATGCATTAATTCTAATGTGTTTAACATGGATGCTGGCTGAGTGTTTTTGGCTTATATTTTCACTCTGCTGAAGAACATGTATACACTTTTTAAAAAGACGGCTGCTTAAGGGTTCTTCAGTAAAGGCAATGAGAGCTCTATACAGAACCATTTCATGCTTAAGTGGTGAAATGGTTCTTCAGGTTGATGGTAAATGTGTACTGGGTATTTGACTGATACCATGCTCATTTACTTGTACTTGAGCTAATAAAAATGCACTGATACCAATATCTGATAATACCTGATACTATGTGACGTAAGTCTAGTGTACATTGCCGCACTAATGAACAAACAAGCCAAGCTGGCTGAGATTCTATCGGCTTGAATCTAACGAGTCAAGCGTTACTGACTCTGTGAAGATCGGACACAAAGCCACTGGTCACTTTAAACATTCTGCCCTGGCAAATTCCCACCATAATCACAAGCACTTTCCCAATAGAAGTGGAGACAAGTAGGCTAGCAAAACAGAGGCAAAAAAGAATCAACATTTGCTACCAAAGACCAGCCGACGTTAGTCTGTTTGACTGAACAGACTTTGTGAGGTATAAACCTTGATTTTTTAAACTGCCTTTGTAAAACAGGCTGTAAACAGACCACACTGTCCCACTGTGCACATCACTACCTGGTTTTAGTTTCAGTGCATGGCGTGTCACGAGTTAGCAGAGCTGCTGTAGCTCAGTTTCTCAGTGTGTTTGCTCAGTACTCGGTGCGCAGAGTGTTTTGAATGAAACAGCTTTATTGATGATTGTCTGTAGACAGAGCTGTCTGTAGGGGTGGTGTTTCATGTCAACTGGACTGAGCGTACAGTGTACGGTGAGAGCATATAAATCATACTCTTCAACTGCAGCTCAACGAGCCAAAGACCTCCCAACAAGACAGAAAACTCGCAAGTGAACTCCTTGGATGGATTAGCCTTGGATGGGATTCCTGCTGTCACTGTGCTACAGAGACTGTTGTTGAAAGAGGCAGATGAGGAGCGGTGATCAAAACTATGAAATATGAAATGTACATCTGTAAAAGGAAAGGGCAACTCCATATTAATGCCAATGGTTTCAGAATGAGATGTCCAACAAACTTATACAGTGTGATGGTCAGGTGTCCACACACTTTTTGGCCATACAGTGTATATACAGTATGAGATACTTATAACCATAAGATTAACATTAATAGCTTTTGCTGTAAGAATGAATTAACTGTCTTAAAGAGATTTGTGTATGTGTATATTTGAAAAAATTTTTCAAAAGCACAACACCGTTTGGGACAGTATAAACTCTGTCTGGTACAGAGTAGAGGTCTGTGCGAAACTGTTTTTTCAGTCCCACTTCCGGCCACTCCTACAAAATTTCATCCCACTGCTGCAGAATATCGTAATCATTTGTCCTGCTCCCGCCTGCCCAGTTCCATCTAGGTAAACTGACATTCAATATTTGACACAGTCCATTCACAAATACATTATCTTCTGCTGAAATAACACGATAGTCATGCCCATCAGGCTCACTGTGAAGTAATTTCACCAAACATCATTTATTCCCAGTAAACAAAAAGCAAGAATTAAACCACAGAACGGTTATTTCTGGTTTTTTGCCGGGGTCGGTAGCTGTGGCCGTTGGACCGAAGACGCCGCTGTTTCTGTAAGCTACAAGAATCTTGTTCATGTGAGTGGTTGATTTAGAATGATTTTCATTTCATTTTGAATTGTTTTTCTGTTTTACATATACATATATATATATATATATATATTATATATATATATATATATATATATATATACACACACACACACAACATTTTCACACATGCTTCATCCCGCTCCCGCCTGCAGTGGGCTGGTTACCCGCCCGCTCCCGCACACAACACTGAAAACGTCCTGCACCCCAAGATACTGCGGCAGGTCCCGTGGGTCCAGTGGCAATCTCACGGAAGTGCAGATCTCTAGTACAGATTTCTGTTTCAGGCAACTTCTTGACCAAGCAAGTTAGGGATAAAGTTAATGCTGAACCCTGGATGCTAATGCAGAGATTCTATATCGTTTCATTGAAAGCTTTTCCTCTGAATTTCTTAAAATTTATCTACGTACTACTCAAAGGAGTGCCAGTGCATCAGATCACTCTCACTACCACTATCTCAAACATTAACGGCTTGCAGCTTTTCTCCTTCAGTTCACTCAGCTGAACGTTCACTCAACTGTCTTAGGTCAAGAGTCCTGCACACGCACAGCCGAGCCTTCATCTGTCTCGCAAACACACTGTTTCACTTTACGCTCAACATTAACATCTTTGTCCTTGCAAACATGCAGTGACACGTCAATGAGCCCAACTAATGCAGTTACTCAGATACGCTGTACTCAAACACAACAGCAGCAAGATTCATCTTCCATTAGCCTCATTCACTTTACCATCATGCTAATTAATATGCAAGCAAACACACTGAAATGAGCACATGCGGACATTCAAGGCATATTCAAATGTATTTTTCATTTGATCGAAACATTTGAACGCTTGATTGTGTTGGGGTAGATGTAACTGCGTTGCTGTTAAACCACACGACACGTTCCAAGCTGAGACTAAAATCGGTGCTCATCAATAGCATCGATTCGAGCCCTACTTTACCGCTCCACATTAGACCTATAATTGTAGAATTAATTGCTCTAAACGAATTCAACCCAAAAATAAACACAAAGGGAAGAGAAAAGATCACACTGTGCTACAAACATAAACATGGAAAGTATATTAATATGTCCTCAGTTACACGTTCACACAAGCAGATGAAAACAGAAAGCGTGTGCTGGATTGAATACACACGTAGCCAACGACACTACAAACGCTGTTTGCTCTAATGAGCCAGAGAATTGATAGTGACACAGATAAACTACCAACAATGACAATTTGTACTTTTGAATAATGATTACGATTTTTCTTTCTGTCCTCAAACAATGAAATTGACTTAGCATACATGCTATTTTCCTGTTTTTGCACATATATTGTTTTTTTTCTGCACAGGAAAAATAAAAAAACAAACATCTGCACTATTAAAATAAATATGACATGAGTCTTTGAAATCGTGCCGCTGCAATGATGGACCGCAGGGATTAAGAAAGGAACAGACCATTACATCCCACTCAACCAACTCAAGGGGATATCGCAGAGCATAATTCACCAGCCAGTTATGCAGATGAACAACCAGCTAAACTGAGTTTTACTGTGGAAATCCAACAACCACAAAACAATAACTCAGCTTCCATCACCGAACAATATCGGTAAGACCATCCAATACCGCATTCAGGTGAAACGCAAATGCAAAACCCTTCCAAAGCTCCACCTCTGACTCATCCTTCCACGTACCTTATTAAACGAAAGCTCTGCTCTTAGCAGCTCGGCCCTGCTCAGGAACCGTTCTCCTGGGACGGAAACTTTGGCCGTGCTTTTGGTGGGACTCTTCTTCACGCTGTCCCGCAGGTTGATGAACTTGGCCTTGGTCTTGCCGGCATTAGTGGGCAGGGTGCAGGAGGTGTAGCAGGCAGACTGAGGCTGAGAAAGCTGTTGCCTGAGGGTTACTCTTGGTTGCGGGATGTTTTTCCTTTCCGGAAGCCCCCTCTCGGTGCCATCGGACCTCCGGCAGGTGTAATCGGGGCTGGAGAAGTAGGTGGTCATCCTTGGAGCAAAGGTGTCAAAAACAAGCTCACCATTAGAAGAAGAAGAAGAAGAAGAAGAAATGAGAGATGGGGACGCTGAAGGATTATTTTTCCGCTGCACGAAGAAGCTTGGAGGGAGGGTTCTGGAGCACCTTGGCAACAAATAAGCAGGAGAATCCAACTCGGTTTCTCAGACCTCAGCTCGTTCCACTGCTGTGTATGTGTGTGCAGCGTGGGCTGCGAGTCGCTGACACATATACAAACACGGATCTACCGTCTAGCGTTCCGTCTCTCTCGTTTGTTCGCTCTCCCTCTCACCTCCTTGCGCTCTCATGCCAATTAGCAAGCTCCAATGGGCACAGCCAACAAGAGCAGAGGGGCTTTTTCCTGGCATGAATAATCAATGCGGAGCTCGAATTCACACACCAAAGCCAGCTTGCCTCAACCGCAGCCAACTCTCTGAGCTGAAAAGCAAAAGAACCGCTCTGCAGACGCCCCTTTCCAAACCCCGGTGCTTCATAATCTTGCTCTTGGAGCACCCCTGCCTTGCATATGTTGATATTTTCCCTGATCCAACACACCTGATCCTACTAGTTAATTAACCAGGTCCTTCCTGAACTGAAGTGAGCAGAAAAATGATAAAAGATGCAGAGGAGGGATAATCTAGGACCAGGATTGGAACCCACTGCCATAAATGCACACAGGGCCATGAGATAAAGCCGTTCATCTAGGATATGTCATTAAGCAGAAGTACAGACACGGTCAGTCCTCCACTCTAACCTAGAGGGGAGAATCTCTCTGATGCTCCACGTTTCTCTAACCAGAACAGAGACAAGATCAAAACTGGGCTTCCCTAAATCGCATTTGAGTTGTTTATTAGTTACTTTACAGATTTCCAAATGCTTCAAATAACAGATCATAACCTCAACAATGCATTAGTAACCATCTGATTACATATTAAACCACGATATGAGAAGCACATTCATGCTATCGTGACAGATGGCTTATGACAGTGTGGATGCAAAGGGTCTCTACATTGAGTAAATTATGAACGGAGGGATAAATAATACAGGCATGGCCGGGATTGCGTTGGGCTATTGGATTGGCGCGTAAGTGGATTTGGATTTCATGAGCGGAAGGAAAACAGGGCGAGCTCCACCATTCCAAACCTGCTGTAATTATAAAAATCTATTTGTGCATGACTGGATTGTAGAACTGCTCAATTAATTATCAACAGCTCCCATGTGAGGAAAAGAAACAAATGTTTAACAGCAGTTAAATCATACTGAACTGCAGCAGTGGTTAACACAAGAGGGCATAAATCTAAATTTGCTAGGATTTACTTGGGATTAAGATCAGCCTGAGAGCAAGGCGGTTGGCTTCAGAGAACAATGTAGTTACAGTGCCATCTACTGGCCATACATGGACTCACACAACATGAATGGGAATATTATCTTTTATGAATCAATATGGTACAAAACTGTTGATCATTCATATCAATTTGAAACTAAGCTGAGAAATCAGTTTCTACCTTCCACTATACTGCATCCCTTATTGTGAGAGGTTGGGATTAAATTACATTAGATCTTTATTATGTATACAGCACATTAGAAACGTGATTTCATATAATCTTTTCAGATGTGAATATTTTAAAATATAGGCTTAAGAATGAACTTGCTGACCTGACCCAGAGCTTATTTTTCATCTTCAAGTGACTCTGTTCGAGTAATTGCAACAGTATATTACATTACTACATATTAGCCCAATTACGCTCACAAAGTTAAAGCTCACAGGTCAAATGTAAATTAAGGTCACTTAACCCATGCGCTTCAGTGGCACCCTATGTGCTTTAGTGGTACCACAGCAACTGGTGGAACTGTAAGATAGAGTATTACTTGCTTTACAAACGAAGCTATACAACAGAATCTATTTATATAATATACTAATATAAGATATTAATCACATTTTTGTTACTACCCCCTTGGTCTCCATTTCCAAGAGTAAGCCCAAAATTTTAGCTTGCTAAGAATACCCCAAAATCAAGAAATGTCCACCTTTCAGGTCCGAAATAACTTGCCAGTGAAAAACCAAAAGACTTATTTGAACTCTCTGCAAAATATATTTAACAGGACACATTCAGTTCCATGAGTTTGTATGCCTTTACCCCTCTTATGAAGTTCTTTTATCAAAAACTCTGCATTCTTACGTTAAGCTGTGTGCAAAAGTGCAAAATAATGAAAGAAAACAAGAACTATTAAGTGTTAAGCTTATAGGCACCAGCTTAGCAGTGAAACTGTCAAGGCTGCCCAATAAAGAAAAACAGACAACCACCAATAACAAGATCAGAAATCAGAACAGACACTTTCTTAACAAACATCTGAATGTAGCAAAAAATGGTTTTCCTTTTCCTGGTTGTACTTCTACACGGTAACTCACAGAAGCAGTGCCCAGCTGACCTTACCTGGTTGGCTCTTGCAGCAACACAGTTGGTGAAGGCATTGAGGCGAGTGAGGACGGCCAGGATGCGGCGCCAGCGGGACCGACTGGTTTCGGCAGGCTCTTCAGAGGAGCTGCGCATAGACCAGTGGCGAAGCCTGGGTCCCACAGAACCACCATGGGTTGAGCTGGTGCTGCCGCCTCGACTCCCCCTGGAGTACAAGGTGTTCCCACCAAAGATGTAGTTCATTACCAATGGACAAAATCCACTCGCGAGCGTGGCACTGACAAGGACGGAAACACAAATCTTGTCCAAGGCTGAGGGAGAGCAAGCGTCTTTCCGAACGATTTCCTTAATTACGAGAGTGGCTTCCTGTGTTGGGCTGTATCTGGTGGTTTCATCTGTGCAGCGTCCTCATGACTCTGGGGCTCTTCAGACACTCCCTCACGCCCACCAAGACACCAAACCGGGAGAGTCGATTCCAAGTAAACTGCAAAGAAGACAAATCTGAGCAAGGGGTTCCGCTCTCTCAGCCACTGACAATGTTCCATTAATAGTTGGTGATGGCAAGCTCGGAGATAGAAATCAAACTCTGGACACATCAAGAGCTCACACTCAATCTTTTCCCGTTGCTATAGTAATGCTCTTGTTTGCCCCCCAGTATCATCAATCAAATGAAAGCAAATTTGAAAGCTGAAAATTCAATTACAGCAGGCAGCTCAATTCCTCACTGTGTCCAGTTCAACAAAAGTTCTTTGTCTGCAAGTCATCAGGAAATAATAAAAATTAAACTAATCCAAATGAGCTCAACCCTTTCATCATGGGCTCTGCTGCCATAGTTCCTCGGAAACAACCATCCAGGTTAAGTGGAGAGACCAATCACAAAGAAGTTCAACAAGTTGAGCAATAAAGATTGTTCCAAATCATTCTAAGCATTCCGTCGAGTTTGGAAGAATTTTTCACTGTACCGTTCGGTGTGCAAAGTGCTCCGTATCTTCTCCATTGCAGCTCCAAGGGGACCTTTCCAGTTAGAAGCTTCCGGAGATGTGCCACAGGTGCTGGATGAGTTGGGTAATTTTGTCACCAGGCTCTGCTTGCTCTCCTGCGGGAGCTAAAGCCATGGCAACCACTCACACATCTAAGAGAGCCAGCAGGATTTCCCATGCAGGTTCCGCTCTCCTGGCCAGCACCAGACTGTACAGTAAACAAGCCCCTCAGCTTCATCTGCTGACATGTTCATTAGTGCGCAGGGTGGCAGAAAAACATTATCACTCATACATCAACACATTGGCTTAGGTACATCAGTATCTAGGGCGATCAGAGAAGATTTGTCATCATAGTGCAGTGTTTGTGATTTATGGCACAGATATAGGTTTTCGAGGGTATATTTTGTATATTGAAGGCATGGAACACTTCTACATCAAACGGCACAAGTTGCTTATCTTCATTTTCACCTTAACTATCGATTTCAGAGGTGACAATCGTCTGACAACTGTCAGGCATCAATAGTCGTCTGACGAAAGATATGGCAGAACATCAATAATACATTCCCAATTACCCCTGAACACACTGTGTGCATGTCTAATGAGTACCCTACGAAACTCATTAAGAGCCTTTTCTTAGAGCCAAGTTGCCCTGCCTTTCACCTTGCAAATTGACAATTAGATCACCATACTGCATCACTGAACGGCAGGGACATCAAACAAGACAGGTAGCAGCAGACTGAAAGAATGGTCTGGACCAATGAAAATGAAATCACCATGCTTGCTGAGCCAGTAATAGAAGCACCAGTTTGAAAATGAAACTGTTGAAGCTGGCTGCATCCTTCCAATTGGCGGAGATGTCCGGGATATCCTTTTCAAATCCTCTGCAGAAGAACAATGGCCAAGAAATTAGTCCAACCAAGGCCAGGGTGAGGCCCTTTGACTGCTGGTCATCAGCTGAATGGATGCTGTCAAGACCCACAGATGTCTGTGCGACGCTTTGGCTCAAGATTCGGCTCAACGATAAAAGCCATGTTTCCATGTACTGCCTACCGTAAAGGAAGGGAGGAGCCATTACTGATTACCTCCTCACATTCCCTGCAGTGTGGTCCATCAGTTAGTTACCCCTTATAAAAAGCCAAATTTAATTCATCTACACAGTAACAGTTTCAACACTCGGCTCTCTAAGGCAGCAGGAATTTTCCTACTCAAATGCAAGTCAGGAAAGACAGTCTCAGGAGGGCCTAATTAGCTGTAGTGGAGGGAGTTATTCATGGATCAAAACAACAGAAAACAAAATGCACATTACAAAGTAGGAATGAGACGCATTCTACATTGGAGTGCAGAGTGATGGAGAGGGTGGGTATTCTCAGAACTCTCGCAAGCATATTGCACGTATCACATCATTTTCATAGTATCTTTTTACGCCTGGATCCTTCATGGGTGCAATTTTAAAGGAATCGAAGATAACGTAGCAAAGATTGAGAGTATTTCACATAGCTAACACAGCATTTATGGAGCAAATAATCGGTGAGTGTGTGCAAGCATGCAGCTGGCTGTGTAAGAGACTGCGAGCACTGCTGCATGACATGAGCACGCAGGTTGCCAGGCAGCAGGGGGAAGAGGTATGTGCCTCCACGTTTTCCCATTAGAGCGCACAGACAGGCTGGACATCACAGACAAACTGCCGCAATAAAACTCTGCATCGTTCATTTCCGACAGTACAGCGTATCCCCGAAATCTTAAAAGGCAGTCAAGCCTTTTTTAACGGGGAATGACGTACCGCCTCAAAATGACGCACCTCTGCTCCATCAATGCACGACCAGCTACCAGTCTTGCTGGCAATCACGTGTTTCGTCTCACTCTGCTGTTTTGCAGAAAACAAGTGTTCTTATCAATAAATCAAGGCAGCATGGTGAGCGTGCAGATACCGGACGCAACAGATAAACCCGAAGGGCTCAGCAATCTTAATGACTCCACACGTGTGGCCGTGGAACATGAAGCCCAAAGAGGCTGTCGATGTTAAAGAGATGCCATCACATACTTTCTGGGCACGCGTGCCCAGTCGTTCGTCCGCCCCCACTGCAGCGTTCCAGACTTACCAACAAGTGCAGATGAAGCCTTTTGGTCCTCCTCAACGTGCCCATGATGCGCCGGCCCATCTTTTTGGCGTACCAAACTGAGTTGAGCATGGTGGGCCAGGGGTCGAGTGAGAGTGTCTGTATGTGTGTGCGCACAGCAACCCAACCTACGCAGGCATTTCTCTCAGAGACAGCCTCGGCACGATGCGCGAGCCGGCGACAAAAACATGCCTTACAGGTTATGTGAACCTGTGACGAGCAGCGCAGAGAGAGACAGAGAGAAAGAGAGAGAGAGAGAGACAGAGAGACAGAGAGGCAGAGAGCAAGGGAGAGAGAGGCAGTGGCAGTCTGACGCACACTGCTGCAGGGAGGGAGAGAGAGCAAGGGAGCAAGAAAGTGAGGCAGAGAAAAGTGAGAGAGACAGACAGACAGAGGGAGGGAGAGAGTGGGAGGGAGAGGAAAAGATTTTCAAAACCTCCACAACCCTGACACGCTGCTTTCTTCACCTCCTCCCTCCCTCCCTGTGCCGTGAAGGGCTGTGAGCTTGGGGCAGAGCAGGTGCCTCCGTCCGCCTCTTCCAGCTACCAAAATGAGTCAGCAGGAAGCCGAGAGGCTTCGGCTGGAACTCGCTCACTCACTCTGTCTCACTCTCTCTCCCCTGACACAGCCAATTCAGTCCACTTCAGTGCTGTTACACTCTCTCTCTCTTGCCCCTCTCTTCCCTAACAAAAAAACAGACGCAGTATCCACGAGTTGCCCTGTAGAACGACTCTTCCTCTTCTTTATCACCTGACTTCCCTTTTTTCTTCGCCAAATCCTGACCAAAGACGTCCATCAAGTCTCTTGTGGAATTACTGATCTTGCGCAACAGCGACTTAGCACCTCATTCTCTCTGCGTTCGACACACCGTCCCTCCTGAAGCGTTCTCTAATGTGGGGGTCTATCTGTTCAACTTAGCGGCCACAAAGGGAGACGAAACAGGACTGACGTCATTGACGGGAAACTGGGGAGGGGGGGGTCAAGGCTGATCATTCCAGACTACAAGAACACTTAGCATTTCTTAGAAAAGCAGTAAGGAATTGCAGGGGCTTTTCTACTGGATACCTTCCTCATCATCCCAGCTTGTAAACTAGCAGAGGAAAACTATTCTCCTGATTTTGAATTACTATTGTTATTGATTTCCAATTACCTGGCCATCATCAGAACCCATGGACACTATTTTGCATTCATAGCAGAAATTCATATTCACTTCACATAAGAAAAGCAAGGCATACTTACAGGTGACCAGAAGTCACTTTCCAGCATGTTGATGTCAAAACACTCACACATTCATCCATGCACTGGAGAAGCAACTGTGCTTCTGTGCATGTCAACATGCGTTAATAGTCAAGGACATCAGAAAAAGAAGCAACAGTCAATGGCCAGAAGAGCCAGACAGGACTTTTACACATGACCTTTGCACCAGGTACAGACGGCCAACTTCCAAACATCTCATGCCCATCTAAAGATACACATATACACAAACACACCAATGAAAACAACAAATAAGTTCAAAGTGGGGGAGCTGTGGTTTCATGCATGTTGGGAACTGTGCCATCTAGCCTCCATCTACACCAATGTTTGTCTTGGGTCCACATCGACAGGACATCACTTAGCGACATGACTGCATGACCAGACCACCAGACACCACTGACACGATGAGACAACTAGGGATGTGCGGATATACGGATATCCCCTAAATCATTTTTAGATTCATTCGCTTGATTGGGCATTCGTAGGTTAGGCACAAAATTAGGAATGCACCGATACGGGAATTCTGGGCCAATGCAGATATCCGATCATTTCCATTTAAGGATTTGCTGATTTCAATACATAAACATCTATAAAATGTAGAAACTGGGACTACATCTACCTGAATCTACCGGTCTGATGTATCGGACAAATCTTAACATCTGTTAAACGATGAGCTTTTTAAACAATTATCAGCTCATACACATATGAAACCGATATCATTGTGGATTCCATAGAACAAATCACGCATTCTCAAGTTCTGCATGTGACGTGGAGCTGCAAAGAACGTTGGGACACGAGCAGCTGGTACTGCGCCTTACATTAAGGGAAATCGTGACTCTCAAGCTGTGCTCAGATGGAGTGTACTCTGTTAAAACACTGCTATAACCTACGGCAAGAAGCTGATTCCACTTTGCCGACTGATCGCAACCTAAGTCAAGCTACAAGGCCTATGTGTAAAACACAAAGCTAAATCAACCAAACCTAGTAAGTGCGCAATAAAAGACTGTTAAACCTTCCGTGTCCTTCCTTGTTTGTGATATTCAAATGCTGATATATTTGAATAGCAAAAAATGAATAATGCCCATCCCAAACAAGTCTTCACCTATGGCAATGTGCTATATGTGCTTGTCTGCCCTGAGTGCAGTGTCGCTCAATGACACGACTGCATGTCCGGATGACCGACCACCACTGACAGCCACATGACGAGACACAAGACTGCGTGTAACTACTACACATAAAGATGGTCGCTGCCAGTTCCCATGTTTGGGGGGTGGAGAAGTCAGGGAGGGTTGGAGGCTGTTACCTGGACAGTCATGGGGCTTTGAGGGTACAGGGAGGCGGGGGTGGGGGGAGGGCTGTCCTCGCTCCCCACCGTGGGTGGCCCGTCGAAGATGCATTCCAGCGACTCAACCTACAGGGAGGGGGCAACTCAGCTTATTTCAACACACACTGCACCGGTAGGAGTTAAAAAGAGCTTATAGCCTAGCTTAGACAGACAGAAAGAGATCATTAGAGAAGCAGACACAGAGACAGAGTGGGAGTGAAAGAGAAGGATGTTGAGGCTGTGTGTTGTCGGAATGAAAACACAGAAATATATACTCTAAACTTGAGCTCTGAAGCTGTAGCAGATATAAACTATAAGCAATGTTACCGAAGACAACTGGCTCAAACATATCGCACAATAAGGGCCGGCTTCCCAGACACAGATCAAGTCTAGACTACACAGGATTTTCAATGGTGAAACACCACTCATACTGCAATTTAGTCTAAGACCAGGTTTAAAATTTCCAAGAAAGAGCTCTATCATAAATGAAGAAACATCAAAATACATAGAAATATAGATTCTACACCTGAACTAAATCAAAAGTATTTCCAAAGAATGTTTAGGTTCAAAATGTCCATGAATTTGGCTACAAAATACAAGTTTTCATGAATTAAAGGTCTAAAATACAGAAATACAGATTCTAATTTAACTTTGCAGCCATATGAGCCCAGATTAAACCTAAGCCTAGACTAAACAGGATCTTTAATGATTAAACCACTGGAATTGCAATTTATTCTAAGACAAGCTGAATCCAGGTCTGAGAAACTGCCCCTAAATGCCACAAAATGAAGAAACTCAGCTTTAGTTTTACAGGAAACTATTAAATACCTTGTTGCTGAAATACCTTACTGTAATTTTGACAATTCTCCTAATAATTATGTATCTTAGTTCAAGCAAGCAAAGCCAAAGCAATGCACAAAAACAAACTACCAAACTACCAGTGTGTGCTTGTTCCAGCAGAAAGCACATCAGCAACTGCTGTGACGTGAATGATCCACAAGGTGGAGATAAAACTCCACTCGGTGATGAGCGTATGGCACGGAGACACGGCCCTGATCTCCAACACAGCAAGCACTTTTCCTCAAGAAGTTTCTCTCTGCCCACACTATTTGTCTTGTGACAAACAATGATGGCAGGTGATTAATCACCGCGAGTGATAACAGCTTGTTTATGGTGCACAGCGATGTGAATATACTCTACAAGTCACAATAGCACCTGAGGCGTTTAATCAAACTGAGAAACGAGATTCAGTTAGGAGGGAAGAAGGTGCCGTTCGTCGCCCCAAACGTTCTTGCTCGACAAACTGAACACTAAACACTTCCGCCGCTACGGCAGTTCTACTAAACCTCCAGCAGAGGTAGGCGGCTGACGGCAGGCTGTAGCTGAGGGCGATTTTGGTGAAAATGGGCCTCTGAGGGAGAGGGTGAGTGGGCTCTGAGTAGGGTTGCAATGATTAGTCAACAAGGTCTATTAGTCACTGACGATGTCGTTCATGGGAAAACGTTGATGCGTCAATGTGTAATTTGCTTCAAGTGAAAAGTGCTCTATAACGCTCTATACAGGGTGTCTGCACAGTTCAACACTTTTAGAGACGTTTAACGCCACTTTCAACGCAATTCAGAAGTAAATCATGATTCTTTAAAATAACTCACACTCATGTTGTTGTCCATTCTGAATACGCTAGCTCAAAAGTGATGTCAGTTTAGCGCATTGTGCTGTATTGCACAAGCAACTTTCCATTATTTATGTTGTGATATGGTATAAAATGTCTTAAAAAATAAAAATTACACCTGCTGCCTCAAATCTAAAATCTAAAGTCATTTCAGATTTAAGACAATTTAAGAACTTCAATTTGTCAAACTTAACACTTTTCAAGTCTATACTGTTCACTGTCACTAAAAATCCTTGCATCTCGGAAATTGTAACTTTATCAGAGAAGGAAAAAGCATTCTTACATCTACTGATGTAACTTTTAAAAACCTTCTGGACCAACTTTCTCTCCAATTTAGTTGGGATCTGTTCTGCTAGTTCTCCTCATAACATGACTGTACCAAGCCGCGAGGGTGAAGGCTAGCACAAGCTTCCTTCCCCCCAAGACTCACGGAGCTTCATCGGATCTTTTTCAAACTTAGTAGCCAGTCATTCAAAAAGTCGAGCTGAGAAAACTTAAATGTTCTGGACGTCTGTGGAAAGTATTCTGTTAGTAACTTGCTGGCGCTGAGGAGGTGTGAGATGTTCACTGCAGAGGTTTCAGTATGTTGCAAACGCAAACACTCTGTCCACAGAAGTCCAGACTGTCTGATGTAAAATGCACGCTAAAATCACCACACT